ACTGCTTGGTAACAGGGGCATAGGGTGAAAGAAACTTTGCCCAATGTTTCTCGCCGGCGCCTGGGATCGAACCCAGGACCACAGGATCACAAGTCCAGCGTGCTGTCCGCTCGGCCGACCGGCTCCTGTGGTGTTTCCTGTGGTCATTTAACACGCTTGTCTGGGTGAGCGATGATAGTGATTGATAAGTCAGATAATACAGCCAATAACGAGACGTCTTTTTTGGCCTTGCCTAGTTTAGGTTCATTGTTATTTATTCGTTAGCTTCGCTCCTCCTCGCAGTGATTCAGCCGGAGAGTAAACTATCACATACATAATGTTTATACATAGGAAAGTGTTGAAAGAAGTATACATTTTTTTCATTTATTTGTATTATTAATTTAATTGTTATCATATCTTAGCCACTCGTCATATCCCAGTTCCTTGTCCTCATATCCCAGCTCCTTGTCCTCATATCCCAGCTCCTCTTTGTCCTTTATCCCAGTCCTTGATTAATCATATCCCAGTCCTTGTCCTCATGGAGCACTATCAGATTCTGGATTACACATCAAGCACACACACACCTCATATCACACACCACACACACACACACACACACACCACACACACACATCACACACACCTTGTCACACACACACACACAGGGAGGGAGGCTGACTCCATACACAGTTTCAAATGTAGATATGATAGAGCCCAGTAGGCTCAGGAATCTGTACACCAGTTGATTGACAGTTGAGAGGTGGGACCAAAGAGCCAAAGCTCAATTACCCCGCAAGCACAAATAGGTGAGTACACACATACACACACACACACACACACACACACACACACACACACACACACACACACACACACACACACACACACACACACACAGGGAGGGAGGCTGACTCCATACACAGTTTCAAATGTAGATATGATAGAGCCCAGTAGGCTCAGGAATCTGTACACCAGTTGATTGACAGTTGAGAGGTGGGACCAAAGAGCCAAAGCTCAACCCCCGCAAGCACAAATAGGTGAGTACACACATACACACACACACACACACACACACACACACACACACACACACACACACACACACACACACACACACACACACACACACACGCAGGTATATATGTATTTGCAAATTATTATAACTTTCAGTCCAAAATTAATCCCATGAGAGGGTTCTGCTGTTGCAAAGTGAAATAATATTCACTAATTAATCTGAAGAGCCTACATTAGTGAAGGTGAGTGAAGAGCCTACATTAGTGAAGGTGAGTGAAGAGCCTACATTAGTGAAGGTGAGTGAAGAGCCTCTTAGACTCCCAGTGACACTCAATAACGCTCCTTGATCAAGAATATTATCAACGATGTTTTAACGTATATACATTTTAGCATTGGTTGCACTTGATAATTATTGCCTATAGTGTTTCCTAATTGTCTGAGGTGGTTGACGCACCAGATTCTTTCAGTTGATAAACTAAATTGATAATTGAAAAACTAAATCTTGCATTTATACAATTTGATTTGGTTGGTCTTTGTTAGATTTGGTCATATTAGTGGTTCTATTCCTGACTGTATTTGTGTATGTGTGTATAAGAACGTATGTGTGCATATGTATGTTTCTTGGGGTTTTCACATGGTATGGAACTTTGCAAAATGAATTTAACACTTTTAACCTGCATGGCGAATTTTCTTAAGTGCAGCTTAGCACCCTCGGAGGCAGAGGGAGTCTGAATACAAATAATAAAACATGAAAATACAATCCGTATAGATATACAGAGAGGAAAGATGGTAACTCCTGGCAAGAAATACACCGGTTATGTGGCCCTGCATTATCATTTGACAGACAGATTGGATGGGGCTTGAACCGTCAGTTCTCTATTGGTTGTGCTGAATGAAGGACCTAATCTTGAATATTTGCATTCACCCAATCTTGGGTGAATAATCTTGGTAATAATTGGGTGAATGTGTTTGATTGAAATTGAAATTGAAATAAGTTTATTGAGGTAAAATACACACAAAGGGATGAGGTAGCTCAAGCTATTCTCACCCCATTACATGTGTATGATGTGAAGTTCATCTTCTATGTCGAGTCGCTTATTATTACTGTATCCAATAATTGCTGTAGTGTTACTGGTCTTTGGTTATGATCTGGTTGTGTGTAGAATGTTGTTGTTGTTAAAGATTCGCTACCTGGAACAAAGTTCCTAGCAGCACGGGCTATGGTGAGCCCGTAGTGTGTGTGTGAAGATACACAAGTAAGTAAGAAGGTGGTAATCTGTTATTATTGAGTAGGATGGGGGATTGAACCAGCGTCCTGGGTGCTCCCAGGTTGTGATTTGTGATGGCAATTTGTGGCTTGTACATTGTCAGACGCCTTGCAAATGATGTCTTGCCAATATACTGAGAACATTGCAGTTGTCAGTCCCACTTATGCATTTAAATATATAAAGAACATAACCTTCAATGCGTTGTGTGTGCGTGGTGTTCAGAATGTTCTTCATGAACAAGTTAGAAGTCAAGTTAGAAATTCTCCTTCGAAATCCTTGGAGCCACACAAAATTAGTTTTAGCAAAATAGTTTTATAGACCTACTTGAGAGAGTAGATACAGTTGGATTTCAACAAACACTGAAGGACATAGGAACCAGAGGAGACATGATTCAGATATAGAAGATACTAAGCGTAATAGACACAATGCACAACAAGAGGAAAATATTTTCTCGTTAAATCAAAACATACCCGGCAAACATCCGGCAACCAGAGGCCTGGTCGACGACCGGGCCGCGGGGACGCTAAGCCCGGAAGCACCTCAAGGTAACCTCAGGTAAGGTACCCACAGAGATGTAAGGATATAGTCGTTCAGTGGACGCATGGAATGGACTTAGAGAAAAGGTAGCAGAGAAGCTCAAACAAAAGACCACTTCAGAAGTAGACATGAACAAAATGAACGAATAAAGTTTCTAGAAATACCCACAAGAGGACAGGTGAGCCTCAAAGGTGAATCCTCTCTACCAACAAGCACTATACTGTCAGAATTATTAAGTACACACACACATTCACTCGGCTCCGCTCATCGCACTCTCACTTCCCAAACACACTCAATATTTCCTCGCACTCTCGCACCCTTATACACTCATTATTGCCTCACACCAACCAAACAATGTCTTTAATCACAAACTAATTTCACTTCCACCACCCGGTAGCCACAGACAAACAGCCGGACCCATCAACACCAACGGTGCAGTTATGCAATTTAACTTCTCACGACTCCCACCGTTGTCAGGGTAACGAATACCGAATGAGTTTATTTGTATTCTTTTGCTCTATAAATGGACGAATTAATGAAATAAAGAAAAAGGTCATTAAAAGTCAAAATGACTTTTGAGAATAAACAAGTTTTGTCAGCAACTCTGAAATAAGATATTTTAAATATTTTACATATTTAAAGACTAGAATGAATAGGTAATTAGCGAAGAGAGAGGTGAGGTACGCGTGAGGGCAATGTAGATATAAGAGAGAAAGAGAGAGAGAGAGAGAGAGAGAGAGAGAGAGAGAGAGAGAGAGAGAGAGAGAGAGAGAGAGAGAGAGAGAGAGAGAGAGACATAATACTTCATCACTTTAGACCATCATAACCTCGAACCGCTGACAACATTAACACCAGGCTGCCGCTCAACCTACCGAACCACCAACACTCCTTAATTAATAACAAAGGATTACAGAGACACGTAAAGTTCCAGTTGGACAGGAGATAGATGTCTCTGAAATCCTTCTTTATTATGGGCTGCTGGTGGCTCAGTAGGCAGAGCTTCGAACTAGTGTTTATGTGGACCGCGGTTCGAGTCCCCGATGGCCCTCTGAGGGGGGGTTATAGAGTTTAATATATGTGCTTGGAGGCCATTCAAGCCTTGCTCGCAAATGTACTCAGTGCGACCCCTAGCTTGTTCAGATATTTGATGAAATATCTGGGCCACAAACCACCACGAGTGTGGTCGGGTGTTGGTTGGTCACGGAATTTGTGCAGATAGGTTTCATGACCAACCAACACTTATGGACAATCGCTGATGCAGTGATCAGAGTACCAGGACTGTTGATGGGGAGACCCCTGGCGGCCAGGGTTCGAATCCTCAGAGGGTTCATAGCGTTAAAGTGATATATTTATATACATATATATATATATATATATATATATATTATAGACTATATATATATATATATATATATCGCTAAAATACATAATTAGTATTGAGTAGTATATAAATTATTCACAAGGTGTTACATATATATAAAATCTTTATTGTTTTGTATAATAGGAAATATCAGCTTATAATTAAACAAAAAGCTTTTAAGAGTATTAGTTCTCGAGTATGATGATAATGAAGTTAACAAAAACATGTATTACTGACGCAAAGAAATATCAGATTAAAAATTCATTTCTAAATACTAGACATAAAAGTTGAGTAAACAACACCGCTTGTTTGCTTTAATGTTTTTAATGGTAATTGGAAATGGTTGTGTTGATATTAATGCAGTGTGTGTGTGTGTGTGTGTGTGTGTGTGTGTTTGTGTGTTTGTGTTGTGTGTGGTGTGTGTGTGTTGTGTGTGTGTGTGTGTGTGTGTGTGTGTTGTGGGTGTGTGCGTGTGTGTGTGTGTGTGTGTGTTGCGTGTGTTGTGTGGTGTGTGTGTTGTGTGTGTGTGTGTGCATTGTATTAAAACAAATGGATTTTCCCTGAGGAATCATCCCTCTTTAAAGATGCCATACACTTAGAGAGACCACCGTGATACAGCGATCACCAGGCGTCTGAGTGGGGAGAGACATAGGGAGGTGGGTAGTGACATGGGTAAGGACATGGGTAGAGACATGGGGAGGAAGAGGAGGAGGAAGAAGGGATGCTAGAAAGAGGTTGCTCTCTCCCCTGAAGCTCTAAACGCTCTCCAGGGCGCACCAGATGAGTGAGTGTGAGTGATTTAGGAAGAGAACAAGAGAGAGAGCGAAGGCCAGCCAACTTACCCTGAAGTTGGGGATGGTTTCGAGGGTGAAGCGTGACCTCCTACCGAGGCGGGAGTTCTCATGGACCTTGTGGTGCCCTCGCGAGGTCTCTCTGGCGTCGAAGCTGTCAAGAACCAGGAGAGAAGCCAGTATGTTCAGTATAACACCACCATATACTCCTATATTATATTTATACACGTTAATGCTTACAATCTATACTAATTCTTCATATAATATCAATCACAACATTGATTTATCAAGCTTATTAATCAATATTACTATCATGTTAAACTCTCACATAAGAAACACATAATTCTATTGAGCATCATTAGATCACATTCTCACATCTATAAACTCTTTATATCACAATTTACATCACTCTATGACTGGAAGTTAAGTTTAGTGTACCTGTAAAATGGTTTAGTAGCTTCATCCTTGTACCAGAGTATAAGAGTGGGTCTGTCCACCGTCGCTGGAAGTTCACATGGTAACTTGGCAGTGCGGCCAGCCAGGGTCACCCTCGACACTGTGGTGGTGGCTGGGGGGAAGGAGAAGGCAAGAGCAACGGTTATCTTGAGGTTATCTTGAGATGATTTCGGGGCTTTAGTGTCCCCGCGGCCCGGTCCTCGACTAGGCCTCTACCCCCAGGAAGCAGCCCGTGACAGCTGACTAACACCCAGGTACCTATTTACTGCTAGGTAACAGGGGCATTCAGGGTGAAAGAAACTTTGCCCATTTGTTTCTGCCTCGTGCGGGAATCGAACCCGCGCCACGGTGTTAGTGATTTCGGAGAGGATTAGATTGGGTGCAGGTAGGTCAGGCAGGATTACACTGGCTGTATGACTCAAAGGTTAACCATATTATTAAAACGTTCGACAGGAACTTTATTGTCAGCGCTCACGAAGCGGAGGAATCAGTCCTAGAAGACATTACCGATAGAAACGAGTCTCTTAACCACAGCTTTCAGAACGTCGGGTTAATAATGTGCTGTGATAGCAAGACTATCATCACCTGCTGATGATGAGTTACCTGCCTGTCCTTAGTGTCTCCCGACACCTAGCAAAACGCCTTTAAATAGACGAATGTCGTCTATGCCTTCACCTGCTCACTATGAGACTGTCAGCTCAAATGTTCTCAATATATAGGCAAGACAACGACGCGTTTTTGAAGGCGCCTGACAATGCACAAACATCAAGGCCCAATGAAGAAATATATAGTCTTAACACAACCACATCATCACCAAACACAATATTACCTTCTATATCATTTTTGGCATTATAAAGCCACAAAAATGACTGGTGTTATGGGAAATCTTTTTTCTAAGCTGTAAGGAACCATTATCAATGCATATCTTAGAACACTGAGGATTTATGAAATTGAAATATTGACATTAAAAATAATAAATAAGCTTATCTACTAAATGTCCCCTTCATTTTGATCTAACTTCCTCAGTGCTACACTGATTCCTCTGAACTGAAGAATACACTGTAATTAATTCTGCCTCGACTCTCAGTTCTATCAACAAATGGCATTTGGGTCTTCAATTAGTTCTATACTTGCTAATTTATTCATGGACTCACGTAAAGCTGGATTATTTTCGTAACAATGATGAAGTCTTAATCATCACGCCTTCTCATACGAAATGATTTTAGAAACAGACTTGATTAAGTTTAACAATGCAGTTGACCTTTGAAATAGAAACTTGGATTTCTAGGCATTAATAACATAAGATTGTGGTACACCAAATTTTAACTTTTTCAGAAAGCCTTTCTACAAGAAGGACTCAAATGTTTTCCCTTTTAGTCTCAGTATAATAATTGAACGAAGTTTAGAGACGATTTTCTCAAGAATTTAGGAATTTGTATTAATTTTTTTAGCGAGAATAAACACGTCATTGATTAATTCCCAAACTCTAGATGACCTTAATTCATCTTATGGAAACGTAGAACGTAAACAATAACATTGATCAGTAAACAAAAACACTGATCAGTAAACAATAACATTGTAACAATAACATTGTAACAATAACACATAACTAGACAGTAAACAAACTATACAACAGCAGTGAAGTCAGTATAGAGGTTGTACCACAGGCATCCACAACAGTCAGCTCTCTCGTCACAAGCAGAGCTGATAATGCCACCACTGTAGGTGTGTGCACTATGTAATGTGACGGCTTAACTTGCCGTAACAACCCGAGATTTGGATGAGAGAGAATTTACAAACATAACAACGCTATGTTGACAATACCTGCTACACATGTGCAGGTGTTGTGAGACCCACATGCGTCAACCAGGAGAAACACACCATCAACTTCTGGAATGCCGAACATGTCGACAAATAAAGCCAAATTTGGGGATTTTGTATGGATTCACCAACCACAACAACACCATTGAACAGCAAGAGGTTAAATACATAGTGCTGTTTATATTACTTAATTGCTTCTGAAAACATATATGAAAAACATGATCCTATACATCTTTCATCTCAACGCCCTGTTACATCATTGACTCCATCCCACCTTATCCTCCCTGACCTGACCCCACCCCCTCACCTTAACCTACTGACCATGTCCGATTGGTCAAGTCCCAAGTCCGATTAGACTTGACAAAGGCCGAAACATCTACGCACACAGTTTCTCAGGAACTTTTTTTGCTAGTTAATCGATACACATCAAGGCCAGAGAAGGGAATCGAACGAAATATTTCATCTTAATTTTTAGAGAGTCTGTCAGAAAGGTCAAATACGCTTTTTTTAGAAAAGTTTACG